TTGTATATTTTCATTAGTAACTTCTCTTACAATCCTTCTTCCAGAATTCGTGCTCCTCTCATACTTGATTCTGCATTGTCCACAGTCTGGTGTCGTATGCAGTCTTTATACCCTTCAATACCTCTTGCTCTGTCCCGCTTTTCCAAGGCCTTTTTACTCACCTAATAACATATGATATCCTTTTGGTTTGCGAATGGTGCGAGCGGCTAATAAAACTGATCGTTCCCGTCCGAACGTCGGAATCACAGGCTGTGGCAGTCGCGCGCGCTTCCTGTCGCCTACATAGAACACAACGCGCTTTGTCAACAGAATATCAAGTAATATAAGCTTGAAACTAAAGTAAGCTAACGCATGATCGCTCATGCAGGACAGCCATTGTTTCTGCAGTGGATTGTGGTGGCATTGAATATCAGTAAGGTTCTCATTCTGGATTCGCTACGATCACATAGGGGAGACTTGTTCGATTATGACTTTGGCCAATTTTATTTTTCAAGCTTCCGTGTGTTGGAATTTGTGGCACTGAGGTGATGTTACTGTTTCAGAGAGGAGTTCATTTCTAGATCGCTGTATTTCCTAGAACCGAGGTTCAGGATCACTATAACCGAATCTTCTTATGCTAATTTGTAATGTAAGTGAAACGACAGGGTGACTTAAGTTCACTATATCCAAGTTCACTATAACCAGAGTCAACTGTACATATTGGCTGTACACCAACTTGTGATACTGCTCGGAAGTAATTATCAGTGTGCAAGGTATTGCGTTGTTTGTGATAAAACTGGGGCCAGCAATACAATGAATTTATTCTCCTTCCCTCTCAAATTTATCAGTGTTAAATAAAAGTGAATTGAGTGAATATCCAAAGTGAAGTAGAGGTAGAAGATCCAAGTACTCCAAATTTGTGTTTCATGATTTTATGGACGATTCTTTCTTACGCTTCAAACATACTTAACCTTAAAAATATAAAATGTGCTGAAAAAAATGGACGATTGAATAAATATTTAATTATAAAAGCAGGTGATACAAAATTGAATCCTATGTACAATTTTCATATTGTTATGTTGTTTATGTCCCAACAGTGTTTTTATAAGGTACCTTGATGAAGTTTCTGCAATAGTGAAAGTAGAAGGTGATATTTTTTTGTCAAGTGTGTAAATGAAATAAACTATGTTTTTTACATGTGGAACAGTTTTTTTTCCTGTAATCTGGTTGCGGATGCATCTGTGTGTCTAATAGGTTCAGAAATGGATGAGTTAATGTACATTTTCATAGTATTGGTAAGGCACAAGAAAATGCCCATAGTTACAAGCAAGTTTTGTATTTTCTTTAAATTCACGTGGTGTTTAATTAATTAAAATTTACTACTAAATTGATTGTGTGAACAAATTGGTGATTAGCTTCTTCTTTCTGACTATATCCTTACTTAAAAATGCTGTATGCTCTGTTTTTTAATTCAATTGAAACCAACTTCGATCCAGTATTTCTCACTAGAAAATTGCTAAACTTTTGGTAATGAGCAGATACTTGGACTCGCTAATGCTTCAATGATTTACCTTCCTGAATGTATTTTACCACTAAGTCTAATCAAAGATCGTTCATGTGACTATAATATAAATAACATTTTTCCCAACTCTTCTTTAACTTTTAAAGCTGAACTCATTAAATATTTTTCATAACATTTCACCTTTTAATTTTTCATTTGGAAAATCAACTACAATTTTCGTTTGTTTCATTTTTGTGATGTTTCTAATTGGGAACACTGGTCACTTATGATTAAGGTAAGCTCCATGCATGCGGAAAGTTAATAATACAAAGAATACATTATGGAATTTGTAGTTAAACATTTAGCGAATGTGAACACTAAAGGCAAATATAAACTAAAAGAGAAACTAACTACAAATAAATTTGAAAATGTAGTTGTAACGGTACGAGCTGCCGCGAATTCAACATCGGTATCTATCAGTAAAATCTCGTCATCAAGCGCGGTCACACGGCCGTTGGGAGGGCGGTACCTGACCCCCGCGCCTGTCATCCCACTAATTGTACGAGGGTCATTTATGCGTTACCAGCTGTCGCCGCCGTTTGAAGGGAGGGACTTGTCGGCAAGCTCCGCCCCCACGAGCACTCAAGACTTTCCCCCTCGCGACTGCGCGTCGAAGGGTCGAAGACAGATTTACGACTCAACGAACGTTGGCGCGCACGTGCGGCCGCATCCGCAATCTAGGTCACAACGTTTTTTCCCCGGCGCGAGAGACTTGCCCGCGGCGGCAAACGACGCAACATTTTTGGCTGTTACGAGGAATCGGCGGCTATTGGTCGAAGCTCCCGCCCGCCACGCCGCTAAATTCATTTCGTTTAATTCAGGAGAGATTCTCACTGGAGAAAAGGGGGGTACAGAGCCTTCGAGAAACGGGAGAGGAGCTGCAAAACATTCACTTTAGTTTCTCCAAGAGAGGAGCTCCAGCTCCAAGAACATTCACTTTGGAAACTCGCAGGAGGGAGTCGAGGCTTCCAAAGCACATTCACTCAGATTTAATCGCGAAAGTTTTGCTCCAATTCACATAAGAGTTTCGCGAAACGAGACATAAACGAGGCAATGGGAATTATTCTCGCTGGCCGCGAGTTACATTAGCCAGTTATCGGTGCGCAGTAGCACGCTTTCACGTGCATAGGCGGCTCATCCCGCCCTCGATAGTGGATCGTCGTGGTGATCGCTCTCTCGAGACGGAATGATTACGGATTCGTAATCGCCGATTCGGAGTCGTGAGTGCCTGGAGATCACGGCCTGAGAGAGAGGAGAGGGAGACGAACCCGGCGCGCTGGACCGCGGCCGTGGTAATCTGCAGCGGGCTGCCTGCGCCGGTCACAATCACCAGCTGTGCGTGCTTATAATGCCACGCAACAACAACCAGGGTAATCATTAGCTTTGCTCCCGCTAAAATGCGGAAGAACAGTAACTGAACGAAGGTTAAAGATAGATGCCATTAGCATCATTATGCATGGCGGCCTATGTAATTTATTTAGTTTTTGTATCGAGCCAACCATTCAAATTTATTTATATATATAAAAGGTCGCAGGGCTTAATTTGTACAATTCATGTAAAATCATCTATCACCATGATCACCTGAGATAATAATGTTTTATTTGTTAAAGTTCAATGCTGTGTTACTGAAAACTCATCCCCGATCCATCCACACACACGTTGGGATACAGTAGTAATGTTTTTTTAATGTTGGTTTGCAGCGAAGTTCAATGGTTTTTAAATGGCTCTAGTTTCACGTTGTAGCATTGCACTTCTTCCAGGCGTGTGCGCATTGACATACGGTGTTTGTGTTTTGGTAGAATTGATGATAGTTTGTACCAGTTTACATAAAGTGTAATGGTTTTGTGATAGTAAATACTTGTGTTAAAATGTGGTGAAATTGTTAGCACTGATTTTAGAACTCTGATTTTGTTTATGTACCAATTCAAAATTTATCTTTTCGATGAAACGGAGCCTAGTTCGTAGTAGGCTATTTCACGAACTCCTTCGGAATTGGACATGTTTTGTTCAGTTACGTTTGCAGATTGACTAACATTGAGAATAATTGAAACTTCACATACTATGTCAATTGATTAATTGCAATTAAAATGACTTGCAAAAGTTGTAACAGTATTATAATTAAAACCAAAATTAAAAACAAAAGTGTTTACCACATAGTGGTGTGTGTGACATATGTAAAAATAAGTATCATTCGTCCTGCACAAGCTCTCATCCTCAGAGCTAAAAGTGTTCGCACTTAACAACTTTTACAAGGCAATGTATTGGTTCTGGTGAACTGCACGTCTTCAGGCGGCGATCTCATCATCACACAAGCTCCGCAAGCTCCGTTCCCTTCGCGCGAGCGCTTCGGAGAAGCGCTTCGTGCAAAGGGGCGGGAGTGGGAAATCTGTGCAGGATCTGCCGTCGCTTCCGATGGCATACGAGGGTCTGTATTATTGCCTTCCGCTTACGGAGTTAGGAGAGTGTCACGAGCAGAGGGATCCGCCGATTATTTTTTCGGGAGGTGGGGATATTTTTTTGTAATAATAAATGGTAAATGTTATTCATATTGTATATAATTTAGAGATTCGAGTAAGAAAGAGTCTTATAAACCGTCGTTTTGAGATTCAAAAATCGAGTTGTAGATTAAAGAGCTCGTGCGTATACTACGCTCATTTCATTTCCGGTATTTGAATCCGGAAGATCTTAGAGCAAGGTGGAATGTTAACAGAAAACATTAGAAGTAAAATATATCTCGAATAAGATGTGAGGAGATGGAATAATTGGTTATATTTACCAAAATTAGTCACTTTTTTAAAACCAGTTCGAAATCGGAATGATATTTTTTTTTTAGTAATTGCCTCAAACAATTTTAAGAGTCGTATTCGAAGGAAGACGGAAATATGTGAAAAATATAGTTATGTACTACTATTACAGACCGTTTACCTTCAGTCAGTAACAGTATATGCATCTCTAATTTGGTATCAGTGGAAAAATAGACTGAGATGCAATGAGACGAAAGCCGAGAACCGACTGTCTGCTTGCGTTTATCCCCGCAAATCCCGCCTGCTCCGCCGGGGCTGGCCGCACGCCGCCTGGCCTGTCCTGTCCCGCGCCGACAGAGGGCCCCAACAATCGGGTAGGTGACGCAACGGCAAAGAAGGGGAAGGGGGGCGAGGTGTTTTCGTAAATTTCACTTTACGACCCTCCTATTCGTCCGATTTGCATGATGTCACGGCGTTGGATTCAGGAAGCATGTCCCCATCGCGCTATAAGCCCACATTTTTAAATTTTTTCTCGGAGTTTGAGACTTAATTTCAAATTCGAGATTTTGGTAGATTTTTGAAAAAGGACTTCGTAGCGTAAATTCTATTTAAAAGGCGTCAAATGCGTTTACAGATCGAAAATCGGCCATGCGTTCAGACGTTATCCGGGTTTATCGGTAAAGTACATTCCCCTGTGATAGTGCTGCGATCTATTGAATTTTCCTACAAGTATTTTTCGGTGCATTTAGACGATAGAGGCATTACGCAGCTTTGCAACTCTGAGAAAACCGCGAGATGAAAATAATTTCTGAGAATGTACAGATAGCCTGCAATCATGAAATGAGAAAACGATTTTGAAGATGGAATTGAAAATCACGAAGATTTATAACAATCTCAAACAAAAGTGTACAGCATAAATAATCAAGCTTGGTGTTCAAATTCTCCCCCTTCCGCGTATCTATTTGTTAACATTAATCACACAGGCACAAAAAATAAAAAGTTTTCTGACCTAAAGACTTCAAACAAGCTTCTATATGTATGTCGATGCGCTGATTCCAAATTTGAAACCAGAATTGCGTCATTACCCTAAGAATACCTTTTTAATCGCGAAAAAATTGCGGTAACATTGCATTTTTTCGGGGCTTACTGTCAGACCCAAAGACTCGACACATGTTTTTCTATGTCAACGCGCTTAACCCAATTCTGAATCCAAAATTGCGCCACGACCCTCCAGTCTTTTAAATCGCGAAAAAACGCCGCGACATTGTAAATTTCATTGTTTGTTGCAATTAAAATCAAACTGGAAGGTGGTGTGGCAATTCTGGCTTCGTATTCAGTGCTTTGACGTACATGAAGAAATATGTGTCAATTCTTGGGTCTGACAAGAATCTCCGGAAAAAATACAATGTCACGGTGTTTTTTCGCGAAAAAAGAACTGGAGGGTGGCGACGAAATTCTAGCTTCAGATTCGGATTAAGTACGTTTACATACTTGTACATGAGAAATATGTGAGA